TCAGCAATAGAGATCTCTGGCAATGAGCGAACCAACCCAGCAGGAACCGATTGTGCAACAAATAGGCAGGAAGAAATGGAGATGGATTGGCCATACGCCGATGAAACCATCAAGTGACATCACTAGACGAGCCATCGCTCGAGTGAAACCATAAAGGGAAGCGGCGAGTTGGTCGTCAACGCAAGGTTGATTTGGAGGAGATCGTGTGAAGAGGAGATGAAGGCGTGTGGCCAAACTTGGAGCGGGGTAAAAAAGTTGGCAGAAAACCGAAGGCAATGGAGATGCGCAGCTGAAGCCTTGTGTTCCTCTAGGAATTTAAGGATATAATAATAATAACTACCCCTGACCTACTAGTTTGACCTATGTAGTTGACCTCACAGTCATTGCAGGTTATTTTGTAAATTATATTATTTTGTCTAATTGGGTCCACCGACAGGGTCCTATAATCTACAGAGCTTGTAATGCCTGAGTGTGTTCGTAGGTTTGAATGTCACCCTAATTCCTGCTTTATTAAGAATCCTACTTAGGGTCTCAGATGTCCCCTCCTAATATGGCATAACAGTAGATGACTTGTACTCTTTTTGTTATTTATGTTATCATTATTAATTTCACAATTATTTTTTTGTATTTTGGCTTTTTCGATCTTCCTAATGAATTTTATAGGATAGTTAGTTATTTAACACCAACACCTCTTCTGTCTGTTTTATTTCTTCATTTAGGTCTTTTCTTGTGCTACTTAGTGCTACTGCTCGGTTTGTTAGACATTTAACTAGGTCTGTGTTCACAGATAGATAACGGATGAGATGAATTAAAGTTTAAATATCTGTTAGAATGCGTTGGTCTAGCTGAACTTGCTATTAAGTTTCGGAACTTAATATGTTTAAATTCTCTCTAGGATTTCATCTTGTATTATACCCCTAGTAGGTGGATATTTTCAGGTGAAATCTGAACTCTACCCATCTTATCTAATAATTCTATATGTAGTTATTCTCTTTTAACACTGAATAATTTTTAAATATTCCCATTTATAATATTCGAACAAGACATATAAGCGAACAATATTGTTTTCAATTAGATCTTCTTCAGGCTTTACTCTAATTTACATAGACTTATATATATAAAATGACTCTCTAGAGAATGAGCTAGGATACATCCAAAATACGTTAGTCCAAATGGGTTATCCTAGTAGATTTGTCAGGAGACACATGAATGCTAAGTGCAATAAAGAGAAACCGATAACAGTTAAAAAGAAACAACTGTTCATCAAACTGCAATTTAATGGGGACGTGGCTAGTGAAGTCTTACATCAGAGATTATCGAGAGCGATAAAACGGACTAATACTGCCGCCACCCTCTGTTTGTCATTTTCCAGACGGCCAATTTTGATTGCTCAAGTGAAAGATAAGTTACCTAGTTGTGCCACTTCCATGTGTATCTATAAATTTAGTTGCTCCTGTGGAGAAAGCTATATAGGCCGAACAACTAGACAGCTTAACAAACGCATTAAAGAGCATCTTCCTTCATGGTTCGGAAAAGGTCAAATAAAGTCCATACGAAGTTCTATTTTGGCTCATTTGATTGATAGTGGTCACCAAGTGGACAAAAATAGTGCTTTCAAAGTTATTTACCGCATTCCATCAAGTCTTTCGAACGGAATCAGAACCCGTCTTTTACACTTAGCCGAAGCTATGGGAATTCGAGAGAACAATCCTAGTCTTTGTATACAAAAGAAATTTGTTCTACCTTTGTCTCTCCCTTGGCCTTGGTGAATTCTATTCAAAACCCTCCCACCCTTTCTTATCATCCCTCTCCTTCGTACTTTTATGATATTTATTTAAACTCTGATTATCGTTCCATTTGATTTGACCTAATTTATTTATTTATTGAATTGTCTACATATATGCATATACTAACTTTGTTATTCTTATCACCTATATTAACAATATTTTGTTATTATTATAATCATCGCTATTAACTTCGTTCAAAACATTTACCACAATATTATTACTATTATTATTACTATTATTATTATGATTATTATTATTATTATTATTATTACGATTATTATTTGATCCACTAAATCACCGTCATTGGTTAAAATTTTATATATATAAGTCTATGTAAATTAGAGTAAAGCCTGAAGAAGATCTAATTGAAAACAATATTGTTCGCTTATATGTCTTGTACTGAATAATTTGTCTACTTACATCATTTTTTTAAATTATTTTGCATCTACTATCTACCTACTTGCAACTCGACGCCAATGACAGAAAATTATGTTCCAAAAAGCTTTTGTAACTTATATTTTGACATTGTTTTGGATGTAAGCAGTTGAAAATAGAAAAACTAGTTCGCAGTATCCTGCAAATACGTTCGTGGTTTCTTTGTTCTAAAGCTAGAAAAAAACGGAACTGCTTTGGATGAAATTCTTTTTCTAATTTTCATCTGAATGCCTAAACATAATGCTTGGTCAATAGGGTATGAGATTTAAATGAGATTAAGTAATAGAGTGACACTTAGGTTAATTCGTATTTATCATCAACAGAAGAATAGCTTTCGAGAGGTCTAATAAATACAACAAGTTCGTTGGGGTAAAAAAAATATAAAGAAAATAACTTCTTAGTATTGATTTTGTAGGGATTTATTTGTTTGATTAGTTGTAGGATTTTCGATCATGAACTGATATCAGTTAGAGAACCACTGGAAAAACAGCTGGGAATACTGGACAGCTGTTTCCGCTCTCCTAGTTCAGGACTCTTCAGCAGTACGCCAGGGGTTCGAACTCAGTACTGTCTTGTATCAGTAAGCTCATGATCGAATTCCTGCAACCAATCAAAAACGAAATCCCTACAAAACCAATACTGGAAAATTGATCTGATACTGACTAGCGACTGATCCTATTCAGGTGGGTAGTTACCAGCGGTTCTAGTGGAAAGCTATCACCAGTAAGGTGCAGTAGGTCGAAGGTGAGGCAGTAACTCATTGAAGAAGACTTTGCTAGATAGTCGCGCTGTATCGTGAATTGGCGAAATTTGGAATTCATGCGCTGGCCATTGGATCAGGTTTTAGTGAGTGGATTAATGGTCTACGGGCTCACTGGCCTTGTAACGTCATTGGGTGAGTACTGATGAAGAGTCCCAAACTAGGACGGCAGAAACATCTGTCCAGTACTCCCTGATGTGTTTTCCAATGGTTCCCTAACTGATATCAGGGATGTCATTATAAAATCCACCAGCCAAAAAAAACACTAACTGTAAAGTATCAATAATGGTATGGTGTAAACACAATGATAATAATAATAAACTTTTATACGGCAGTGAAGAAGTATGCGCTGAAGATGTCACCCAGTAAGGTGATGAAAGCTTCGCAAACTAAACATCCAGCTCAGAGAACAAAACCACATCAAAAACTATTGAAAAATTTATTACCCTATTTAATCATATTCATCCAAATATCCGAGTGACTTTCGAACTCGAATCGAATAACAAACTCGGTTTCTTGGGTATTACAATGACCAGGAGAGATGATGGAACGATTCAGCGATCTATTTTTTGTAAACAGACATGGAGTGGACAATATCTTGACTTTACCAGTTTTGTTCCTATGCAGCACAGACATTCCTTAGTGAAATGTTTGTTCTCAAGGGCCCGAAAAATATGTACGAGTGACACATTGATGAATACGTTTTGACATATACATTCAATTTTATTAACTAATAGTTATCCGGAGAACTTTATCACCTGTCACAGTAAAGAAAGACCGCATGTCAAAAAGACAGCTTCTGTACTAAAGAAAGCTATCTTTAACAACCTAGCATTCAAGGGCGACCAGATTATGCAGTTCAAAGACAGCTCGAAGACTTCGGTCAGCCACCAAACGCACATTCTATGCCGCATCTCTTTTTTCACTTGCCGAAAATTTTCTATCCCTGTACTTACAATTAAAGGACGAAATTCTGTGGACTCTACTTCAAACTGTATCGACAAGTCCACATGCAGTTCACACCTATATAGGTTGAACCAACAGAATGTGCCAATGTCGTCGAAAAGAACATGTTCCAAAATGGTTATTAAAACATATAGAAAATCCCAAATTTATTAATCTGAATAGAAATCCATCATCATCCATTGCAAAACACTTATTAGTGTCAGGTCACAAAATCAATATTAATGACTGTTTCACAATTATTTCATGACATAACTATAATTCTAGGTTGGTTACTGAACGTGATGGAAGCACTTTGGATTAATCACATACAGTCGTAAACTGTGTGTACAAAAATCAATAGACTTCAATCTTCGCCTACCATGAACAACATAACCTATTTAAACATCATTAGTCATTGGTATGTAATTTTGTTTTTTATTTAACTGAGTAGTTTTCATGAACTTTATTTTATCATTGTTAACCCTGTTAGTTGTAAAGCGGTTGTAAAGAAACTACGAAATGACGATATCATCTCGCGAAATTTGTCTTCTTAATGCCTTATTCAAATTTATAAAAGGGACTAATTGTTTTAAATACCATAAGATTACTCTTCTGAAGCTTACTCTTGTATCATCTTCGAAGGTGCAAAAAGGCAATATAATGTTTCTCCAAGTCAGCTATTTATTAACCAATGACAACACTAGATTTTTATAAACTCTTTCATTTCACTTGCGTTTCGAGTAAAACATGGGACTACAACGCCCCGACCTCCCTTCCTCTCCTAGCTTGTTACTTACTAGACGAACTCCACACTAGATGTAGTATGGTGGGGCGGACATTCTATCGGTGGACCATCAGCGGAAATATTCTAATATATGAGTTATTATGAAATTAAGTTTATGTAAATTCAAGTGAAGAAAAGACACTAGTTCTTTACTTCAAATATTTATTTAAAATGAAAGAAATTCTTATCAGTCTTTGATTGCTTATAACATGCGACATATTTGTGTTTATCTGTGACTTTTTCGTTACTTTTATACTATGTATATATAAATATATATCAATGTAGATGTTTAGTCATCTAACTGGCAAAGTAGAGCAGCACCACGTTTTATCCAATGACTTGGATCAACACTTGTCGGCAATAATATAGGCAGGACAAAGTTAGTTGAATGTCCAGTTGTTGAAAGTGTCCCACGACGTTCACTTGTTTTATAAACTGGACAATTATAACGAATAACTTTGATGGATAATTCATCAAGCTTTTCACGTAGGATTGGTTTCAACCAAATAACCGGCATTGGTTCATATAATACCTTGGGAAACTGTTCACCAAGTTCCATACTGAAAAAAAATATAAAAGTTCATGTACAGTAATATAAACAATGAGATCGCAATGGCCAGCTTCGAAAACAACCCCTTATCATCAACTGTCGATGACCTCCATCTCTAAAAGAGATACATTTATGATACTTTCATCATTTGTGATGAAAACCTCGACCTTGAAAACTTACTTCAAACATTCAACAATGCCCATCAAAACATCGACTTTACTCTTGGAGACGAATCCGACGGAATGTTCCACTTCCCCGACGTCCGTCTGACAATTCTCAGAAAAGTTCGAAATGCAAAACTCCGACTTGAACTGGACAATTCATCAACATACATATTTATGATTCTGACATTCTGCACCCACTATTATTTCATACGTTTACTACTTCCTGATTTCCGTCATTGCCTCATTTTTATTCGTTTCTTTGCTATACCCAGTTGTAATTGATAGTGTTCTCTGAGCTCCTTGGTTCAATTGCTGAGCTTTCATCGTCTTTCTGGACGACATCTTCAGCTCAGTATTTAGGATAAAGTGAAATGATTTAAATTTCTTCATGAGTCTCCCGGTAACCATCTTTAGATATGTATTGACCGTTTTCTATTGACTGGGATTTTAAACTTTCTGATCACCTGATTTACTTTTTATTAGTTGGTATATTTCATCTATATTAACGTGTTTATTAATTGCGTTTTCATTTTCAAATCATCTACCTGAGTTACAAATCTTTTCTATTTTACCCAGTTGTCTTTATGACGCTGCAACCTGACTCTTTAATTGTTTCCTGTTGCATACCAACTGTAGTTTATGATTTCCTACAACAATTGATGCTTTTTTATCGATCAATCATCCCAAACTTTGTAACAGACATAAATTATTTCCTAAATCCAGTCCACAATCCCACATGCATCACTTCTAATTCCTAAAGTCATACAACAAACGGAAAAATTTGTTATTTCTGAAGGGGAAATATTTAGAGGACTTCATCGGGAAAGAATCCTCAAATGTCATGGTTTGAAAGTTTTAGTGTAATAACGCATCAGACCACTAGTCGAATCAAACCCAAGTGAGGAAATAACCAGTTGGGCGCCCAAGCATGACATGGAAGAGATTGAATTGGGAAAAAAAGAAAACTTATAAGCAATCGTAGAACCAGGAAAAAGAATAAAGAAGATATAATGAAATAAATATGCGCTAATGAAGCCTGCTGTTCTACTGTAAATTCCAAGGAACAGTAATTACAGTTTAAAAATCTATGTTACTGTGAAACTCTTCAACTGTCTCTACTTTTTATCATGTTAGATCAAATAGAGAGAAGACCAATAGTTCAGAGAAGAGTCTCTTTTTGCCAGCGAATTCATTTTATTAACTGTATAATCACAAATACATACATGAGTTATTTTGTATGTATGTGTACATTAAGTTTGTCAAACAAAAATACAATTGGTTGTGGTTATTCTTAACTAAAGGGGTGAGAATTAGAATGATTTGCGTGGAGCTGCTGTGGAGCCAGCCAGGTACATCGGTCGTCCAACGCTCATCTTGTCAAAAGGAGTCAAATAACACTATTCACAATGACTGCAGAAAGGAAGTAGTGGCCGTATAAGGAGTGCAATAATCCAATATCTCGTCACCACTGGTCATTTCATCTCAGCAATCGCCTCCCTCAAAGTAATCTAAAAAGTGATGAACAAATTGCCAAAGACAATACGTTTCCTTCTTCTTTGCATTTCAGAGAGCTTAGCCATTCAGTTTGAAGAATCAGAACTATGCATACAAAAGAAAATTATTCAGCCACTTCTACTACCATGATAACCACTTTGTTGGTGTGACTTAACTTTTGTTTTTTTGCTTGTTTTTCTAACTACCTAAAACTCTTATGTAATTCAGTATTTTATTTTGTTTCCATGTTCACCCTGAGCACAACTCTTTCACCAAACTATTTACCTTATTACGTAACTATTCTTTGACAATCGTTTGTGACAACTCACCACTTTTGTTACTACCTTCTTGTATCAACATGCAATTCCTTTGAATACTTTTTGTATTACGTAACTCCACCCAAAACTTACTAATTCTCACCACCCCTATAGTTAAAATAAACATAACCAATTGTATTTTTGTTTGACAAACTTAATGTACACATACATACAAAATAATCCATGTATATTTGCAATTGTACAGCTATGAAAATGAATTCGCCGGCGAAAAGAGACTCTTCTCTGAACTATTGGTCTCCTCTCTAGTATATGAAGGTATACTCTGTCATTAAATTATTCTGTTTGTAATATATTACTTGTTATAACGCTATATTTAGCTAGTTTCAATACGCCGTCCCCTTATTCAGAACATTGATTTATATTTCTAACGGAAAATTCAGGATGTATCTCTTTAAGTATCAAGACAATAAATGTCAGTCGTACCCAGCGTTCGCTTTCCAAAAGTATCACCGAACACTTATCAACATGGTTTTACAAAGGAGAAAATCGATGTTCCCGCAGCTCTATCTTAGAACATCTGATAGAATTCAGACACCAAGCTACACCCCAAGCAAATTTCAAAGTTGTCTACAGAGTAAAAAGTAGTCTTCCTAAAGGTATACGAATCAGACTTCTTCAAACTGTAGAAGCAATGGTGATTCACTTGCTAACTCCTGAACTCTGCATACAGAAGAAGTTCATTCAATCACTACACTTGCAATTGATGTAATCTATCTTATTACATAACAAGTAAATTCTACCTAATCTTTTTTTCTCTTCTGTCTCTTCACTATTTTTATTATTTTGTCTTTTCAATTGTAATATTTTACATTTTAAGCTTTCCTGCTCTCTACCCCCACCCGATTTAGTTTCTACACATCACTACCACTGATACTGACTTGACCAATGCTCAATTTCTAGTCATTCATTTATGTTACGCCATCCAACTTAATTGCTCAATTTCAGTTCTAATTTAAATGGCATTATTCTCTACCCCACTTCTACTTAGTCTCCATCTCTGCCTGTAGTTACCTCTGTTGCTGCCCTGACCTAATTTGAAACATTTTAGTCAGTCATATTACGTCATCTAACTTACTAACTAACTCAATCTTACTTTAGTTGCTGTCGGATTAACCTTGTTTCTATATTAGATCATTCTTCTACTACCTGATGAATTATCTAAACTTTGATAAACCTCATGTACACACGCACACACAAATAATTAAATATAAATGCAATTGTACAGCCATGTGAATGAATTTACCGTGAAACAGTGTCTCTTCGCTGAACGTCTTCTCTTTTTCAATAAATTTCTTTCTGATTCAATTGAATATTCAGTCTTTCGTCAACTTATACATGTATATATGGGAAATTATTGTATTACCGCACAAGAATTGTCCCTACATATTTTATTCTCATCAGTTTGCAATAAACTCTTGACTTTGTTATCTCTTTCAAATTTAATATTCATCAATATATGTTCTGTTTTTTTCTTTCAATTTCTTTTTAGTTTCACATTGTTTTTAAAAACACAAATTCAGTTAAATATTTTTCTTTTCTTTTTATAAGCAAGTGGTGCTGTCAGTGTGACTGAAGTTACCCACCCATCATTCAGCAAAAGCAGGGGCTGTGAATAGTGTCAGGTCGCCTACTATTCACCTATATAGAATAAAGTTGCCTGGAGTTTTAGTGAGACGTCGTTACCAACGGGTTCCACCCGGGTCGGATGTCAGGATAGATACTCGCCAATAACATTTTACCCGGTGGTCAAAAAGCTGCAGAAATTAGAATAAATGGGCCAGTAGATTCGGTTTTAATATCTGAATGGTCTACAAGCTCGAATTGGTGGATACTTCCGATGAGTCTCGAACTAGAACAGAGAAAACAGCTGACCAGTACTCATTGGTGGCTTTCAGTAGTTCTTTCACTGATTTCAATCCGTGATTAAACTTGAAACAAGTCAAGTTCCCGAAAAACGAACATAATTTTTTACGAGTGGATCACGGATTGATATCAGCTAGAGAACCATTCAAAAACCAGCAGGGAGTACTGGACAGCTGTTTCATCCTAGTTTGGGAATCATTCGCAGTACGCGCCTAACACAGTAGGTTCGAACCCAGGACCTTCCGGTTACAAGGCAAGCTCGTATACCTATGATTCCCAAACTAGGATGAAACATCTGTCCAGTACTCCACGATGGTTTTCAATGGTTCTCTAACTAATATCAATCCGCGATCAGCTGGTAAAAACAAAAATTACCCTTACAAGACAAACTATAGAGAACATAATTTTACCGATCAACTCTGCATTTTACAAATAAACAAAGATGTGCGGTAGAAACTAAAGTCAATAATAATCTAACACCGAAGATCACGGTTGTTTCCATTCATGAAACAACAGATTGACTGGAATCATTTGGAATTTAGAGAACTAGAGTTGACTGATAGTTAGTATCTACGTCACTACTCAAAGATTCTGGATATGAAAATGCCACATATCCAGCTTCATCAGTATGTGAATATGAAGAGGCGTTAAAGGGGTAATTATATACACTGAAGATGTCAGTGCATCATACATCTGGATAAAAACGTAAGTAGTCATCATGCGTAAATCCAATTCATTTCATATAATTTATTACCTATCATAGTCCCAACGGCATCCATCTAGAAATAATCCATGAATATAAGCACCATCAGATGGTGGTTTATCTTCTTTCTGTGTAGCAAGTACCTATTCATGTTAGAAAAGAGAAAAAACACTAAAGTTAAAACTATCGAAAGTCTAGTTTTTATGAAGCATAACCACCAAAAATTGACGGCATATCATCATTCCTTTTGAAAACATATTGAAACAGGAAACAGGCATATAATGTAGCCACACAAAAAACTTGGAGGATCTGGACTTCACCGATGATATATATATATATGTCTGATTTCCCACAAATTGGAAGATATCCAAGTAAAAAGAAACGAGTTCTCAAGAGAAGCATCAAACATGGGACTTTCTTCAGATGAACATAAAGCAAATAGAGGTGATGAGGATAACAGCAGACAACAATCAGCCAGAATAAATGGGAGATATCTGAAAGGAGCAATATCCTTCACCTACTTACCTGCCTATCTGGGAATGATCGTTTCAACTACAGGCTCACTGAACTGATGAGGACATCAAAGTGGGAATCGTGAAAGCAAGGCAACCTTTCATTACTCTCAAGCCTGTGTAGAAATCAACAGCACTCAGAACTAAAAATAAGGTCCGAATTTTCAACTTCAATGTGAAGTCGGTCAGTGCTACACACATCAGACACTTGGCGCCACGTCACGAAGCCCACTTTGAACAAATTACAGACTCTCATCCACAGCTGTCTTTGCTCAGTATTTTGCTGAAGTCCAGATGACCGGTCAGTAAAGATCAGACACAGGGAGGGATCTCTGGAAATGAGCGAACCGACCCAACAGCAACCAACTAGGCAACAAATATGCAGGAAAAAATGGAGGTGGATTGGCTACCATACTCTGAGAAAACAAGCTATCACACCTTAGGCCATCGCTCGAGTGGAACCCGGCCGAATAGAAGCGGTGAGTTGGTCGTCAGTTCGACGGTGGAGTGACGTGGAGGAGGTGGTGTGATATGAAAGAAGATAAAAGCATTCAGGCAGACGTGGAGCCAGGTGAAAACGTTGTCAGAGAATCGAACGCAAAGGAGACGTCCAGCTGAAGCCCTATGTTCTTCTAGGAACTAAAGGAAACAATGTTAATATAATAATATCGAAACTAATCAATTCTTCAAAAGCCATCTATCTATCTGAATAAAAATCCACTTGACCTTCATGGCTTGTCTAGAAATGTATCTTAGACATGCTGTGAAAGGTCTAATATCTGTTACAACGAAAACTGATTCAGTCTGACATGTATCTATTCCAACAACGATGAAAGTGGGTAATCAACTGAATCATCAGAATGTAATTAAGAGATAAATAAAATGATATTTCTGAATTGAAATTGGCAGTTAACGCTCCAAGCAACACCAGCATATGATACGAAGAGACAAACGAGTTTTTCACTGGCTGACTGAAAGAAACGATAGGTAAACTGAAAAGCACAGTTAAGTAAAATTGCATATTATGAGATCTATAAACATGAAAGTTATACAACTATCACTCGATATAAAAAGTAGGTGATCTTCTCTACTATCAACGAAATTTCCAAGTTCTGCCTACTAAAAAATAAAATATTAGTTCACAAAGTAGATAGTTCTGAAGATACTGGGTTCAGTTATGCTTATCTTGCGGGGGAAACAGCAATGGTCTCTTGAATTCATAATTCGCAATGTACACCGTACACGAGTGGTGAAATCTCATCATAGTGTGGTGAGAGCTGGTTGGTAGCCAAATGTGGTAGACAGTAATTTACATCAACGTTTACGTCCCCAGTATTGGTCATGAGAAAATAAGAACAAAGATTGATTCAACAACCAATCACAGCAGACTTTGCATAGGGGGATATGCTTGGCAGATATATAATCTGAACTTCAAGAAATGACTACAAGCAGTTGAAAGATTAACTTTCAGCTAGAAACCACCAATCAGAAGACTGTGTTTGTTTGCTTACAATAGTCTATAATAATGTACATGAAAACCTAAAATATCAGTTGATTTCCTAAATAAACGATCAGTTTCCTGGCCCTTGTCTTCTGTCGTTACAATAGTAGTTTCCTTTGCAAAGCAAGTTTATTCAGATCACACTTAATATATGATCTACTTGATACCATAAGTGGAAATCGAGAAGGCGAAGATATTTGCTTGGGTGCCTATCTCAAGGAAAAAAAACTTAATCTGCTTGCTCTGTTTTGGGATGAGAAACATTTGTAGTTCTGATTGTGTTGACTCGAAACCTGACTTTCCAAAAGCCATGCTAGCAGAAAACAGCCACCCGAACCGATAAACAGTCTAAACTGGTCCCCAACTCAGTTTAGTTCTAAAGGAAACCTTAGTCATTAATTTGGAAATCAAACGTGATCAAGCTTCAGATATGCTCAAAATCGTCTCTCTAGAGCAGTCAGTCAGACGTTCTTTGCAGCCATCAGTTAAACCCCATCTCTATACAAAAGTTAAGCTTCATAGTCTGGCAGACTCAATGTGCATTTATCCATAATTTCACCTGTTCTTGTCTAGCAAGGTAAATTGTCCGTAGCCAGAGCACACTATCCAAACGGATACTAGAACATATTGCAGTTTTGGGTTTGTAAAGGAAAAAGGAAGTGTGAGTAAGCTCTATTCTAGAACACCTGACTGACTCCTTTCACTCTACCAATCCTGACCATGTTTTTAAGATCATCTACCAAATTCATCCTAAATTGCCACATTTTCTTCGTTACAGACTTATAATGACAGCGGAGGCCTTGAATTTAAGCTAAACCTTTGTGTACAAAAGAAGTATATACAATCCCTACTTCTGCCTTGACCGTAGAGGGATAGACACTTATTTATTATCAAGTAATGGTTTTGTAGGGATTTTGTTTGATTGCATGGAGGATTTCACCATGAGCTGACATCAGTTAGAAAACCACTGGAAAACCTGTGAGTACTGGGCAACTGTTTCGTACTAGTTTGGGACTCTTTAGCAGTGACTAGGCAGTAACTCATCGAAGAAGACATTGCAAATTGGTCGCACTATATCGTGAATCGGCAGACGTTTGAATTCGAGGGCGATTGGATCGGGTCACAGTGGCTCAATGGTCTACGAGCTAGCTCACCTTGTAACCAGAAGGTCCTGGGTTCGGACCGTGGTGATGTGTGTTTATTGCTGAAGAGTCACAAACTAGGACGGAAGAAACAGCTGTCCAGTACTCACAGGTTTTCCAGTGGTTCTCTAACTGATATCAGCTCATGATGAAATCCCCCATGCATTTATTTATTTATTTATTTAGTTAATCTATTTACTTCTTCCTTATTACTACAATTATTATTATTATTACGATTCTCACTCTGAATTGTTCCCACTTGTCCTACTTGTCATTCTAAATCCAAATTTTTCTTTAAAATATTGAATTCTATCTTAACAAATTTCACACCATGTTATGTAACATTTTATATTCCCCTACTAATCCTATAATTATTCACCCCTTTCCAACCTTACGAATTATTCCATAAATGACATTAATTGTTTTGCTACTTGACAATTAACTATGATTATAATCACAAATATTTTAATTGCATTTCATGCTATTACTATTATTTCATGTATTCACATCTTCCACCTAATTCCCTCACCGGATATAATTTCTTAAAAGTTTCTTTATATATATATATATTTAATGTACAGCTTGATAATAAATTAGTTGTCAAGATTCTCTTCGCTGAATATTGTGTTCTCAAAGCTATATACCACTGACTGATTTATATGAGTAGTTGCATACCACCCGAACTGCGTACACACTGCAATTCGTCAATGCAATCTGTAATATCACCAGTTGAACCAAGTAGCTAACCAGAAATCAAGTAATTTGAACTGATTCGGCACTGTGAGTTAAGTAAACCGGTTGCAACTTTGATGAGCTAGGTGCCACATGAGATAAACGACAGTCCTTTGTTTGAATCACCTCGATCTGGCTAGCTAGTAAGCACTACTGAATGATGAAAGTGGTATGCAACTGCTTGTCTCAGTTGAACAGTGGTATGCAATTGTTTGTTAAAAATCATTTCGCACTATCTTTGTAAATTATTTACAAGTATTGAAGGTAATTCTGCTAGTGACACTACCCTTCATGCTTATTCTTAAACTAGGAACATTCTCCAAGATTTACATCATTCCGAAATAGTTATATTATTATTATTTTAATTAGCTTTCGAGTGAGACTTGGGACTTCGACAGTTTTTCTCTACTTCCTCCTGTCCTCTGATGTCGTCTTTAGCTGACTGACTCCACAACTCCCCATAAGCTCTCTTCTCTTCCTAATACGACCGCTTTCATATTATCCTGTGGTACTCAACTCTCTGTTTTCCACTCTAGTTCCATTCAAACGATCGCCTGGCATGAGACGTCAGTCAGCCATCTCCTCAGCCTTTGTCCAAACTAACCGCATTTTCTTCAGCATATTTGTTGGGTCATTCCCAGAATTTCTAATTGCTAATCTCTTCCGTCAATAAAAGCCTGATGCCTTTTCGAAATGCTTTCGATGACGCACCAAGTCTAAGCACCAATACAGGAAAGTTCACTGATTTGAAATTAGTGTTGGAAATTCAAACCCACATTCCTTATGCTTAGTGAACTAGATTTCCACAGTTACTTCAGATTAATGAAGTGGTATCTTGCCTTTTTAATCCTAGCTTTAACATCGTCGTCCATGACCTCCGATGCTGACTAAATAAGCGAAAGATGTGATTTCCTTTAAATGTTTCCCTATGATAGTGATGGATGATTGTTGTTTTTCATTGGTTAGGCATCTTCATCACCCATATCTTGTCTATGTTCACTTTAATTCTACAACAGTGGACAACTGTAAAGCAAAGTATGGGATGTTGCTAGCCATTTTGGGTCCCGTTGGCTTAATAGTCTACGAGCTAGCTCACCTTGTAACCAGAAGGTCCTGGGTTCTACCCCTGGCGTTGGGTGCATGCTGATGAAGAGTCTGAAACTAGGCAGAAACATATATCCAGTACTCTCAGGTGGGAAACATCTTTCGAGTGGTTGCGCCAAAGGATTCAATCGCACGTCGGTCTCGTCTCACAAGAGGCAGGGATAGATGTGTTTGGTTTTCCTGGAAACCAATACCCAGTTAATGAGTGTGCGTCGATGGCACAGCAGTTAAGATGCTCCTCGACTATGCACATGCTCCGGGGTTAGATCCCCGGCCAACACACACACACGCACACGACATCAATAGTCGACCTGCTAAATTTAGACAACCGATATCACATGCTGAAAATCCCATAGTTGTACCAAAATATTATGTGGAATCAAGCTGTTAAAGATTTTTAAAATATAAAAAGTATCATGACAGCTGAGGTGGAAGTATTTGAAGACGATGAAAATAATAGTTTAATAATTTCACCGTAAATACTTCTAAACAATTTTTGATATGATATTCACTCAACTTACTTCAAAGTCAAATGTCAATAGATCAATTGGTATTCTTGTACGTCGTGCATAATTCTGTAGAACGCCAGTTAAGAAAGCTTGTGTGAAAAAGAATCCAGATACCCAATAAGTTGCTGGTTTATCATCAATAAACCAATTCTGTACACAAATAGAAAAAGCAAAATAAGAGATTTAAAATCGGAAAATTCGGACGAAATACTGAAGCTTTTCAAAAGATAGAAACTTGTTTAGAATTTCATCATGAACTGACATAAGTTAGGGAAGGTTTGAAAAAACCCACCAGGGAATACTGGAGAGATGTTCCGTACGTCCTAGTTTCAGACTGTTAAGCAGTACGAACCCACCGAAGGAGGTTTGAACCCAGGACCGTCTGATTACAAGGCAAGCTGGCTCGTAGACCATTAAACCACCCACTCGAACCCGATTCAATGGCCCATGAGTTCTAACTTCTGTCATTCACAACTTAGCGAGACCGCTAGCCAATGTCTTTGATGAGCATTTGTCCTCACACCCAACCTGCTGTACCCCACTGGTCATGACTTCCTACTGGAACCCAAGGTTAGTCACTAGTGAGCACCAGTTTGATATTCAAGTGTTGGTTTCCAATGTTTTGATTGGTTTCAGAAAACCAAATTCGAAAGTCAGTGGGTGTGTATTGATAAAGAATCACATACCAGGACTTTTCTTACCGATGCCAGTTCATAATGAAATCCTGAAACCAATCAAATACCTGAAAATGAACACTTGAAACTCGTTTAATTGATAATTGAAGCTAAAATTAAAATCTACCGACTGGTTTTTCTGCTTGTTGCACTTTTTTTCCTTACATCTGGACTTAGAAGGCTTTTTTTCGTGTCTATGGCTTTCAATTCTTTTTTTCAATCTTCTGTCTCCACAACAAAACTGTCTTTCATGTTTTTGCGACAAACGTTGAAAAAAACAAACAAATTTATCATCTTAGATGAAGAGATAACCTGATATCATTTGGGCTAAATCAATACGCATGAAATATCTTTCAGTGGACAGTGTTGATTTATATTTAGCCTTTATTAAGAAGAGAAAAAAGAAGTGTGGATAGATGGCTTATAGATGCGATTAAAGAATTAAAGAATTTTGAAACTGCTTCACATTTATGCTATCTATTATTTAGAACACACTGGACGACCGATTAGAAGACTCTAAAAGATCTGGATTCCGTGCAAGGATGATATATGTCTAATGTCACACAAACTCGAAGACTTTAAGGCGAAAACCCACAGACTGGCTGATGAGACAGAGAAAACAGGACTGCAGGTGAACACAGAGAAGATAGAGGTGATGAAGTTAGCAAATCAACAGCAACCAGCACCAATCACTGACAACAGGAGAGATATGATAGAAGTTACTTCCTTCACTTATGTAGTTAGGAAGCACGCTTTCAACAACAAGCAGTCTGAATAGATGAGAATGTCAAAGCCAGCCAGAATCGTAAGGGTAAGATACGCCTGGATCAAGCTGAAACCAGTTTGGAAATCTTCCGCACTCAGCATAAGGAACACGATTCGCATTTTCAACACACATAGAAGTCAATCCAACAGGTCCCAGACTTCTATCAACAGCTGCCCGTTTCTCTGACTCCATATTGAAGAACAAATGGTCAGCCAGAAAGAATACACTGGAAGAAACTCTTACTCGGAACAGACCAAGAAATAGCCAGTCGCTCAACAAATATGTAGGCGAAACTGGAGATGGATCGGGCATACACTACTGAGGATGCCGTTGAATGATATCGCATGCCAGGCCGTTGAGTGGAATCCAAATATGAAGTTACAAGTGAGTTGTCTCAGGATGACATGGAGGAGATCGTTTGGGGAGACGAAAATAAGAGGCTATGATCAACCATGGACCCACCCAACCGAATAGGACGACAGAAAACAGCAGAAAGTGGAGATGTGTTGTTGAAGCTGTATATTCCGCTCGGAACCCAAGGGAATAATAATAATATCATTTAGAAACAAATTAAAAATTAATGTTAGCAGATCTTTTCTTTGAACTGAATAACTCTGGTATTCTCAAGAATTACTATGCAAAGAAAGATAGTGTCGTCAATTTGTCAAAAATAAATGACTCTGATGCAGATAGTTGATCTAATAGAACTCCTATACTCACTACAAAATGTCTACATTTTATTCAGTCTTATTAATGGATAGTTGGTTTTTCTTGTCGATTTCTGAGTCGGTTGTCACATTTCCTTCAATATAACTATCCACTCGTAACTGAATAAACCTTGTAACGCATTAGTCGTTTTGAGAATCCCTCCTAAACTATCTAATCACAATACTGGTAATTATTTGAATATTTCAACTAACTTTGTAATGATCTGTTGACATAATCCTTATTACCGCTCTCTTTACCTGCCTAATCTCTAAACTTAATGCTTCTCTTTATGGTTTTGTGATACACCTATAGTGCGTTTTATCATTATGTAACTTTGTTGGAGTCATTGGATCGCCTGCAAGAGTTAGTCCTGGATGATTCTTGTCGAAGGAGTTTTTGATCCTACTAATATATGTACAAAACTTGGGCATTGGGGTACTAAGTAATTCCATATTAGTTTGTTTATTAGATGTATCACAGTGAAACGGTATTATTTACTAGATGACGTTTCAAACACAATTTTTCACCGTTCATAATCATATCAGTTATAATCACACACTTTGAAAGTTGAGGTTTTTAGTTTTCTTTGTCCTCTCCTATTTTTCGTTGTAGGGGTAGTGGAATTTTCCAGATATCTGAGTGGACAGGTGTTGAATCATTCGACTACACGTATTTACAGTTGATTCGATAAACAAAGCAACTTTTATTATTCCAGCCTTGTTAAGAATTCTGCGTAAGGTTTCTGAGGTCCCTTCTTTGTACGGAGTTACTACTGATGATTTACATTCCTTATAGTTGGTGTTGTCATTATCCTGTGCATGTTTAACATGCATTTCATCATTAATATTACTATTATTATCATTATCTCTATCATTGTTATTGTTATTATTATCACAACAGCAACAATAAGGAATCTAGATCATCAGTAGTACTTCCATACAAAGAAGGAACCTCGGGAACCACCTTACGGAGAATTCTTAACAAGGCAGGAATGAAAGCAACGGCATTCAAACCCACAAACTCAATTAGAAACGTGTTTTGTCAGTTGAAGAATCCTGTGGAGTCTCCTAAACAAAACAATTTAGTTTATCTAATACCCCACTAGAACGACTGTCAGGTCAAATACATAGGTCAAAGTAGTAGAACACGGTCAGTCGGACTAGCCAAGCATAAAAACCTAGCAAAGTCTAGATTAGTTGACCCGAATAAGATAAGAAATCTAGAGAATAGTTCAGCTGTAGCACTACATGCAGTTACACACAACCATACAGTAGGATGGAATGGGATAGGATGACAGTTTGGAAATCTAATGTAACAGCAGGGTGGAGGGAGAGATTGATAACGGAAGCTTCGCTTATCGATTCAAGTAAGGGGGAATACGTCTAATAAGAATGATTCAACACCTGTCCACCCAGATATCTGGAAAATGCTACCGCCCCAACGACGACAAATAGGCGAGGACAAAGAAAACTATAAAACTCAAGTTTCGAAGTCGTGTAATCATAATTGATATGATTATGAAGGATAGTAAATCGCGAGCGAAACTTCGTCATCCAGTAAATAATACCGTTTCACTGTGATAAATCTAATAAACAAACTAATATGGAATTTTTGACCCTTCTTTGTTATGAATTTCGATTCTACTTGATCCTGAGTACCTGTCTTATACTAGAAACTTGTCTGATTTGTAAGGCCAACTGACGGCACTGTTGAGGCAGTCCTGAGTTATTGGTGTTATTATTGCTGAACAGAACCGAAGGTTTTACGGCACATCATCGTTATTTTACTGTCTCTGGGGGGTCCTTTTTAGTTGTACATGGCTCAAGGAAGTTTTGGTTAGCTATACAGCGGGACTCAGAGATCGGTTTCACTGCGTTCAGACCGCAACAATTCGGTTTCGGTTGTAATAAACCTGACTGATAAACTCTGAGATATTCTTACTTGTATAACTACTATAACTCTTGTCATGAAATCTGATCGGTAAAATATTATTGTTCTCCTTCAAACGTTAATCAACCCAATTTCTTAAAATACAGAAATGACAAAAAACAACTCCGATGATTTTCTCTAATTTTGTAATAAATTATGTGAAAATAATCCAATCATTCCAATGGTAACCGATAGAGGCAAACAAAAAGAACTAAATTATCGATTATCTACCGCATAATTAATTACCATAATCGAATCAATAAAAACTTCTTACCTGAAAGAATTTCAGTCTTTCTATTAGATCATTTACATAAGAACCAAGAGGTTTCAAACTTGGATACGATCGACGAGCCCATAAGGCAGGTAACTTCCCAATAGACAAAGCTGCAGCTAATGACTCCAAGCTTTCTGACATGATAGCAAGACCTTTAATCGCCTTGCGTAAATCATTCAATGTTGACTTGATTATGTTTGTTAAGCTTGAAGTGTTAGAGAAAAAAATATATTGAACACAAAAGTGATTAAATTATTGAATTTTGAATAGATCATGTTTTTTGTGTAGTTGTGTTCTCTTAGCTGGATGCCCTCATTTGTGAAGTTATCACTGTCTCACTAGACAACAGCCCACACAGCGCATACTCCAATTCGAAATTAGCTTTTAAATTCTCCACGATTTTATTAGTTCTCTCTCCTAGATATCCATCTTTTGTAAGATTAGTTAGAGGACTTCATGATGAGCTGACATTAGTCATGAACTGGCAGAAGTTAGGATTCATAGAACGGCCAACGGATAGGATCCCAGTGCCTCAATGATCTATGTGCTCACATTGTAACCAGAAAGTCCTAGGTTCGAGCCCGGTGACTAGGTACTGCTGAAGAGTCACAAACTAGGATGAACGAAATAGCTGTTCAGTATTCTCTACAAGATTTTCAATGGTTCTTTAACTGATGTCAATTCATGATGAAATCCTCCGACCAATAAAATCAAATCCCTACAAACCAATACCTGAACATTTTGTGTACACTGGCCATATGACATATTTTTCCATTTTCCTCAAGGCTGTACAATCGCATTTTATCATACAATTTTTCATGAAAGAGGATATTAACATAAGTGAGGAGCTGTCACAAAAATAGATGTTAGTGTCAGTCAGTGCATAAGGAGATGTGAATAGGTGTATTAGAGTTACGTAACAAGACGAATAATTTAATGAATTTGTTGTAATCCGGATGCGCATTGAGACAGAGGGAAATATGGAATTACATAAGAGTTTCTAAAGAGGTACAAGAATCACTAAGTCTAACGAATGTAAACAAGAAACGAAATTCAAGCCAGCAGAAACCAACAAAGTTGTTACTATGATAGAAGAAGTGATTGAATAATCTTCTTTTGTATGCATAGCTCCGTCTTTTTCTGACTGAATGGCTAAGGGATCAGCAGTGCAACGAGAGACAAAACAGTACTGCCTCTGGCAAGTTATTCTGCACCTTGTAGACAGATTACTTTGAAGGAGGTATTTGCTGAGATAGAACAGTAAGTGTTGACAATGAAAACACAAACAAAACTGCTCTCCAAAATCACTTCAAAACTATTGCAACCGTTTAGGAATGATGTCGTCCACAAGCCAACAAAAACACTTCAATTGGTTCTACGTCAAACAAAAGACACAAAACAACGAAGGAAGACAAAACCAACATCATCTGTATGGTAGAATGCAATAACTGTGAAGAACATTATTATTATTTCCTTTAATTTCTGGAGGAGCATAGGGCTTTAGCCGAACGTCTCAATTGCGTTCGGTTCTATGCTAAAGTTTTCACCTGGCTCCACGTCTTCCCAAATGCTTTCATCTCCTCTTCACATCACCTCCTCCAAGTCACCCTTGCATTGACGACCAACTAGCCGCTTCCCATTAGGGTTACACTCGAGGGCTTGTCTAGTGATGTCACTTGATGGTTTCCTCAGTGTATGGCCAATCCATCTCCATTTCTTCCTGCCTATTTGTTTCACAGTTGGTTCCTGGTTGGTTCTCTCATTGCCAGAGATCCCTCCCTGTTTCTGATCTTTCCTGGCCGGCCATCTGATCTTGAATAGTACTGAGCGATGACAGCTGTTGATGAGTGTCTGTAGTTTGTTTGAAGTGGCCTTCGTGACGCGGTGCCAAGTCTCTGATCCGTGTAGAGTAGCACTGACTGACTTCACATTGGAGTTGAAAATCCGGATCTTATTTTCATTTTCATGCTGAGTGCTGTTGACCTCCACACAGACTTGAGAGTAATAAAAGGTTGTCTTGCTTTCCCAATCCTTGCTTTGGTATCCTCGTCAGTTCCATCTGCCTGTAGTTGACACGATGCTTCTCAAGTCGGTGGGTAAAGGAGGTTGTTTCTTTCAGGTTCCTTGCATTTATGCCGATTGTTGTCTGTTGTTGTTGGTGTTGCTGTTGGCCAGGAATCTTCATCACCTCTGTTTTCTCTATGTTCACTTGAAGTCCCTTCTATCTGTGATACTTCTTCTGCTAACTTGTTGCTTTTCACTTGCATATGTTCCAGTTTGTAAGAAATCAGACATATATCATCGGCGAAGTTCATATCCTCCAAGTTTTGGTGTGGGTCTATGTTATGTCTGTTTCCTCGCCGTCCCCTATCTGTCGCATTATCCGAGAACATTACTTTGGTCAAAGTCGACAACCTCTTCATCTTCACATGCATGAATTTAAACTGGCCGTAAAAGGATACGAATATCCACTTCCTTATATCACTACATGCAGACAACCACGGACACCAATTCATCTGGGAGATTGCTTAAATCTTCGACAGAGGAAATATCAAAAACGCCAGAGAATTTTTACAGGCCTGGTATTTAGGTAAATTATCAATCAATAAACACACTGACATAGACAAGACTTCCCCTAATCCATAAGAAGGGAATCAGGTGAACAAAAGGTCAATTTTCAAGTCTAGTTGACTAGATGGTGAGAAAATACATGAAAACAAACAATCACGCTGAAGAATACCAGGAGAGATGAGTAGCGAATTCATCAAGAATTCAAACTGAAGTATGCGTTGAGAACGCTGTCTATTTAGACAACTGATCTATCCAGCCCAGAGAGAACATAATTACACCAAAAATCATTCACCTGAGTTGCAAATCTTCTTCCATTATATCTGCAACATGTTTTAAATACAAGATATAGTAGTATAGCGGTAAATAATTCCCCAAAATTATTGACCACAACAATCATCACTGAACATTGGATTCTGACCCTTACTGTGTAAGTCGAACTGTTTGGCTGAAGGCTTCCGGTCAAGCAACCCCACCATTTGGTACTCCGTCCTGTCACGTTCGCGCACGATCACTAGCCAGTTAAACAATCATCTCGCACTACAGTTTGGTCCCGAAATATATCTCGTAATTTGAACGATCAAATCGTGTCTTTTGCTTTGCCTTTATTCTACGTGGAACAAAGACTATAGAAGTTGTTGGTATTAGATCTTGCGTTAGTATTCTCCGTACAATTCGCGAACGTCAATACAGTCAGCCTCTAAACTAGTCATATCGCTTTGTTCAACCTTTTTATTTACTATTAGTGTTATAAAATAAGGATAGAGGAAAAGAGTGGTGAGTATTCAATTGACCTGCAAATACCAGTTGGTTTGCTTCACAGGATTTTGACATGTAGGAGTAGTAATAAATAAGGTGCACACCAGTAGTAACCTTCCGAGAGACTGGTAGAACACATATAAATTGTCTGTTGTCTCAAATAAAAAATATAACTTAGTAGAAGTGGGAAACCATGAGGCAATGGGTTTCAATCTAGTTTCTGTCGAGAAAAGGTGGGGAAGTGCAAAGGTAAGAGTGGTAACCTGACGTTTCAGGACTTTATCCCTATCCCCTAGTGCTTCAGGGTTCTCAATGGTTGATCTCAGCTGGGAAACAGTTTATGGAGAAGGCAGCCTAAGTAGACTGCGTTCTAAATTTTCTTTCTTAACAGATGACTATTCATAAATGTGCAAATTATTGAAATATAATCTGTTATCTATTTGGCATCAAACAATATGACTACTTGTCTGACTCATTTCAACACATAACTCTGTACAAAAGTAAAGAAGTTCGAGTTTCAACACTCCATGTAGCACAGAAAGGAAGATAGAGAAGAGAAAATAAGAAGTGTGGAAGAGAAAAAATAGTAACATGAAACAGCAATACGATTCAACAGGTATGGCAGAGCACAGAGACCAAATGCATCGATTTTGAGCCATATCATCAATTGTCCCCAGACTTCATTGGTTTTTACCATCCCTAGGATCCCAGCGAGACAGCAGTCTACATCTCCCTCTTACGTGACTCAAACCAAGTGATTCCAGGTCTTGGTGTGACCACCACTAGCTCACTCTTTTCAAACTTGATCCATCTTATGTCGGCAACACTGTCAGTTGAGGAATCCGATTGTTTGCTAGGCATGCGTAACACATGTTTTAGCCATCTCCCCAATCTCATTGACTGACTAACCCTCTAACCTAGCAGTCGACGTCTAACCTCAACATTACCGACCATATTACGCCACCTGAAAGGGGAGACATAGCGCAGACACTTGTTAACAAAGATAGTCGACCTTTTATTTCAATCTTCCAATTTCAATAGCCATGTCTCACAACCATAAAGGAGAGCACAGAGAACTGCTGAGCTGTACATACACACGTCCTTTGATTGATGGTCAGATATTACGTCAACGTCGCGGATGAAGTTAGTTGACAAATGTCGCACAAGCCTTTTGTATCCACGCTGAAACGTCGTCAACAATCAGTCCACTTGGGCTGATGCAACTTTTCAAATATAGGTGAATGGGTCAACAAGCTCTACCAGTTCATCCCTTATCCTTAGAGTAGTTGTCGACGTAGCATAATCACACATTTAACAGAAGCAAACCACACACCAAAAATCCAAAGATTACTGCTCAAGGTGTTCAAAAGACTCTGAATTTTATCAGTGCCTTCAACCTTAGAGAAATCAAAAGAATTGTCATACTATACATGTATTTTTAAATTAGAATTCAGTCTGAATATTCCATTGAACAATACAGACATTTTGATGCAACTACTGCGAATCCCTTTAATATTCACTTCTATCACTAAAATCTGAGCATAAATCCATTATCTCACTAGTGCATATATGTGTGCGTCAGTGATTCAGAAGTAGAACGCTCACCAACCACGTCTTAAGGAGTCCAGGGCTTGATCTCTGACTGACGCACCCTTAAACATCGCCATGTCGGTATTGAGGCCGGTAAAGAGGGCGATTTGGTAAAAACACTTAGAAGAGCACTACTTGGCTTAAGGAAACCAGTATAGTACAGACTGTTATATCAATACGCCAACTACTCATGAGTTAAAAAAGCTGCCTTATTATGCATTGTGGTTGAAACACAATATCTTCGAAGAGTTTTCAGTTGACGTTCACGAAGGGTAGTCATTGATGGAA